TTGTAGGACAGCCTAAAAATGGTCACTGGGTCTTGACTAAGGGGAAAAACTATTAAAGGAATATGAGAGTAGAATAAATGAACATATGTTTTTTTCCTTGAACTTGGAAGAATGTCTGCAAAGTTAGACTATGGTGACAGATTATGAAGCTAAGGGCACAGTGTAGGAGTGTAGGGGAATAAGTGACTGAATAAGAGACACAGCTTATTTTATAGCCACATTTTAGATTAAATGTGAAGGAGTGAGGTGGATCAAAATGAGATGATTAACTAAATTCTTTATGTAAAACATTTATTCTTTTATTTTAGTGTGTACTGCTTTTCCTGTGCAATAAGTTATGTATCCTAATAAAAATTAAAGAGCAAGTTGCATTTGGAAGATCAGGTCATCGTAACTCATTGACATTAGGCCACATAACTGAATAATGTCTTCCTTCAGTGAAATACATCAAATGAGATCAACAATTATGACTCATAAACATGCCTTGCAGGCATAAAACAGCAGGGAATTAGCATGTGAGGCTGATAAATATGCATGTAAATAAGCTCCCAAAGGAATAACATGGGTTTGATTGATAGGTTTAGAATTGGAACATATGTAAACCCCTTTATTCCTCATTCTGGTGTAGCTAAGTAAAAATGCGTTTTACTTGTTAAAAAGTTTCAATAACTTTGTAAATCTTAATGCCACATCTGTTTTTTTTTTTTTTTCTTGTGCATGTCACTTGTAAGATTAATTGAATTGTCTACAGGCTGGATGGCCCTCACGTAAAGTAAATGGTGGAACATGTGAATAAGTGGCTATATATTTGTTGCTAGAAACAGGGTAAGAATCTTTGGGAAATTTCTGTTTTTACGTTGTAAAATGATGTATTGTCATAAGAAATTTCTTTTAGAAATAAAGATGTGACTTAACAGATTATTCTGGCTCCCTTAGTAATACTTCATACCATCTTTTTCTACATTTAGCTCCTAACAATGCAGTTTCTATTTATTTGCTGATTTCATACTACTGCTTTGATAGTCTATAATTAAAATATATCTTTTTAATAACTTTTTTCCAATTCTTGGTACTTTAGTCCTTCTAAATCAGTATTCAGGGACTATTGTAGAGCTGTATTAGAAAGTGCATGTTCAAATGCTAATCAGATACCCAGGGAGACTCCAGTTTTGTGTTCATGCCTCTCAGCAACCAAATGCCTTTGGGAAATATTAATGCCCCTCTCCAGGTTCAAGTCATTTCAGGTAAATGGAATAAGAAATGTGGTTTTTGATTTCCTGGTGCAGAGTCTGAAGCATGAGTCCTGTGGAGGGTCTAGAGATTTGCCAACTGAAGGCATTATGAGATTAGTTAGTGGCCACTTCTATTTGGGAAATATTTTCTTGTCTCCCATTGATAATAAAATAGTAAACAAAAAGGAATATCATCAGTTTAACATTATGAAACAGTGTGTAGTTTCAAAGGAATCATGTTTTTGATTTGGTGAGGTACTACTGGATCCTCTACAGCTTATATTCATCGTTCTGTAGATCATGGTTGATGAGTATTGAGCATTAGGACTTCTAAGTTCAACAGCAGTGTTCTAGGTGCTTGGAATATATCACTGAACATAACAAAGGTCCCTGCCTTCATGGAGCTTGCATTCTAACAGAGGGAGAAAGTAAATATAATAAAAAATTAAATGGTATCTTTGAAAATAGTAATTGCTTTAGAAAAAAGAAACAAATATTGCAATATAAGGGGAATTATAGTATGTTATAAGTTAGAAGGTTGCAGAATTAAATATCAGAGCAGTTCTTACTGAAAAACAATTAAGCTAATACTTAAGGGAGATAAAGTAGTGAACCGTCTAAGTTTTGGGGCAAGGCCATCCTAAACTGAGGAAATGGCAAGTATAAAGGTCCTAGGGTAAGAGCTGCCAAACATGTTCTGCAGGTCAAGCAGTCATAAGGTAATGTAACCATTTTCTCCTTTCTAACCTTCAACTGATGTTAGACTCTTTTTAGTGTTCCTAAATGTCTATAAACTAGATTCAGGTTGACTGAATTGCCATCTGTGGTGATCCTGCTTACTGGATTCCTCTGATCTTTGGTCATTCTTCCCTTTACATCTTTTGCATTTTGACACTTCATTATTTTATGCTGCTTATTCAAAGTGTATACTTTCTTTTAACGTGATTCTTTCTTTAGTCTCTTTTCATCACTTGGAGTCAGATTCTATTAGAATCTTTTTTGACCCCCAAAGCATTTGGAAACACATGAAGATATTTGGGGAAGGGGAGTTGTCATGGTAACTAGGGAACTTCCCCATTTCCTAGGCTGGAGTGCAGTGGCACGACCTTGGCTCACGGCAACTTCTGCCTCTCAGGTTCGAGCAGTTCTCTTGTCTGAGTAATTCTGGTGTCTCAGTCTCCCAAGTAGCTGGGATTCCAAGAGTGCACCACCATGCTTGGTTAATTTTTTTTTTTGTATTTTTAGTTGAGATGGCCTCATGTGATCTGCCCACCTTAGCTGCCTTAACCTGTGTGAGCCACTGAGCCCGACCAAAATATTGTCTAATTATTCATCATTTTGTAGTTTTGAGTAAATGTAACTTTTTTGTGTCTGTACCATTTTGGCCACTTGTAGCCAAAAAGAGGAAGAAGAACAGGAGGCATACAAGGTGTTTTTAGGTCTATATTGAACCTGGACCTTGGAACTGTTTGCTTGGTGTTTCAAATGGGTAAGAAGGTCTGGCAGAAGCTGGGCCCTAATTAGGTGGACTTTATAGTTAGCATTCTGCTTGATAAAATCAGAAAGACACTGAAAAATGGGATGAAGGATCAGACCTAGAATGACAACAGAATATGCTTAGTGTACACTTTATAGAAAAGCAAAACATTTATAATTTTCTCATAAAATATTGGGGAAGAGAAGTCTTGATGGGTTTCTGAAAAAAATAAGTGTAGACATAAAAATCAGTTCTCGTATCCACTATTAGTAATTAAAGGTGAATACTATTTTGAGTTTTCTTTTTTAGTATTATTGTTTTATTTTAGGAAATACTAAATATTTATTGGATCTTTCAAAATTTCACTTTTCAAATTATTCTTCATCCTGTTTTTATTATAAACTTTTAAATTTAATTGTGATAAAGTTATCAATCCTGATTTTTTGAGTAAGGTAATATTCCTGTTGAAGATGGACTACTTGAGTCATCTTTGATAAAAATAATTACGAAAAAAAAATGTAATTTTGTATATAAGGCGTAAGCCAGTGAAATCAAGGACTCTTTACTTCTATAGGAATATCTTGTCTAGTAGTCTAACTTGACATGAAGAGAGAAAAAAAGAATCCTTAAAGGAATTTATGGTCAGCCTATCTGTTGGATAAGTATCTCCCAACCCAAATGACATCGGGACTAATATACTAGCTAAAGTCCATCAGTTTCACGGAGTGAGGGAAAAGAGGAAATAAGTAAGTAGAAAAGAGAAATAGACATGAAATAATCGTAAGTGTGCCTGAAGATTGCTTTAGATGTGCTTTCTTGCACATTGGCTGTCTTAACTACCTGAGACAAGCTATATGGCTCTCAATTTAGGAAGCTGTTGTGTAGATATCCTTTATGCTACTCATCTATTTTCCTCTCTTAAATGTTTCTTTTCTTTGAAAGCAGAGGCATTTCATCTAGGCACATAGCAGAAGCTAAGTTTTTACTAATTGAACTGACTCCCATTTTAGCTAGCAAAATGCTTATGTCAAGGCTGTAGCATTTCATCATGACATATGAAAATACTGACTTGTATTCTTACTGGGTTGTGTTCTTGCATGGGCGTGACTATAGCAATATTTCTAAGCAGAGGAGAAATATTTTTCAAGAAACAGTCTACGTTCCTAAGTAAGTACTGATACCCCAGAATTTCATGCTGCAGAAGATGGCAGGAATCTTTGTAACAGGAAAATGTAGAGAGTGCGTCAGTTGTCCATATCAATTCTAAGGTGACTCAATTTTGCACAATAGCTGAGTTGAAATAACATCATGTCCTAGTGGGCCTAGCAGAAGGATTTGGCTAAAAATATGTGCCTCCAGGAATTTCTCTGCTGAACTGAGTGTGTTTGGTATTTACCTTAATGTAAACTAGAAAATAGCTGCCAAAAAAACGTGAATTTGGGTATATTTGATAATGAGCCTTGCCTTCTCTTACTAGTTACACAACAGGATCTATTGCTTCTTAAAATATTTCTCAGGTTATGATAATAAAACCATTTGAACTGTTTGGAGAGCAACACATAAACCCTGTTTGCAACAGCAGGAAGTATCACTTTACTCACATTTATAAGTGTATAAACAAATTGAAAAGAAGTGTGTATATGCTTATGGAAGGTGAAAGAGTCAGTTTTCTTTTCTGAGGATGAGGTGTGATTTTTCTATTTTTTGTTTTTATTTTTATGTTGAGTTTTTGTGATTTTATAACTTTATTTGATGTATTTGATGTCAGCAGTTAGTTCTCACCCAGAATGACTGCCTGTAGATTTTTGAAAGTAGTAACAGGTACATAGGTAACCAGAGTATAGAACTTGTTTGGTGGATCTTTATCCTTACTATGTTTTCTGGATAGGCACACATGGATATGGTGTGGCACATTCCTTATTCCTATTCCTTTGGCTTGACACATTCCTTTTTCCTTTGGCCCAGACAGTTTTGTTCAGCCTGCTATGAGTGCACACATCTGGAGTTCCACTGTCCTTCATGACAGATTTCCAAATCTCTTTGAGTGCCTCGTGGGTATGCTTCCTGAAGCCCATACCATGGATGCTCTTGCAAATGTTGATTGTATGCTCAGGTCACCACCTCATTAATGGCAGAACGATCCTTCTTGTGACACTTCTTTGTGGGAGCCATTCTACTGGGCCCATGCTGAGGGTGTGATTTTAAAAAGTGAACAATCAGGTTTTATTCCTCAGCTGGTTTCTTTTATCAACTAGTAGAATAATTTTTTTTCACATATTTTCTCTGCACAGCAAACTACCTGTTGGACATTAGAGAAGAAGTGGTCATTGCTGTGGCTAACAGAGCCTTTTCTTTATCTGGTGAGGCAGCATTATCTTCTACTGGTGAACTTTATGATCACTAAAATACGAATTTTATATAATTTTCATGTGTCACAGAATATTCTTTTTTTGATCTTAAAAAATTTTTTTTTAAAATATAGAACCTATTCTTAGCTCATGGGCCCACACAAAAATAATTGTAGTTTTCAGATACTTCACGAGGACTTCTTCAGAAAGAATCACATAATACTGGTAATAGAAGAAGGATACAGATGAGAAAATAGATGATTTATGCATGGTTTTAATCACATGGTGGGGTAAAAACAGTAAAGTGGCAAATGATAAAATGGAAACAGTATTCAGTACATCATGGTTGTAGCGGTGGTAAAGTAAGTTAAATAAAAGTTATAGACTAGTTTTAGGAATAATTTCTAGGGCTGTATGACCAATTTCTATTGAAATGTGAAGGAATCAACAATGAGGAAAGATTTGAAGTTTACATAAAAGAAATTGTTACAGTATTTCTCTGAATAAAGGAGAAAGGAGATAATAAACTAGGAAATTATGACAGACCTCTCTTCCTGTGAGATAGTGGGAAAGCAGATAAAATTCATATATATTTAGAGAAGTTTTGAGCTTTAAGCATGTGGTGGCATCTTGGTTTGAGGTGGAGTAATTAGTTGTGAAAACCAGCAACTCTTATCTGATGACCTTGATTTTAGTTTGTTTATTAAGGATAAGGGATGCTAGTATAGATTGGGAACATGAAAAATATTATATGAATAAAATTAATAATCAACAGCTGTGAGAAGAGATACGATTACATGAAATTTTGTATCCCTGTTAGCAGGCCATATTCTGCTTTCTGCGATGATGAGGGCAGAGATGAGTGGCTGGGAAGTATAGTTGTTTATATATTTGTTTCAGGGCCAAAACTGGGATGAGGCAAATGAAAAGATCATTATTACTGACTTTTCCTTAGCCTTGGGTTCCAATGCGGCTTGATATGGCAATATTAAATTTTGTATTCATTTAAAATTTTGATATTTTGTTAATCATGGATCTTTTGGAATCATTTAATTTTTAAAAATATTACATTTAAATATTTTTATGTTAATTACTCAGTTTGGGGCATCCCCTTAAGTGGTATGCCCAAGATAAGCACCTGATTTTCCTTACTCACTTCACCTTAATCCTAGTCCTCATTTGTGGAACAAACAGTGAGGTCTCCCCAAGGTTGACTACTGACTTGCAAACTATAACTAATGACCAGAGAAGCCAGAAACATAGGGTCTTAGATAATGAGAGCTTGAGATGCTGGACTATAGTGTTCAATGCAATGGAACCCAGAAGTAGGCAAATAAATACCAGCAAGTTAAAGAGTGAGCCAGCTTTTGATACCTAGTCCATGCTTTCTCATGCTACTGTCAGAATGCTTGTAGAAACAGAGATGCAATATTAAGAATTGATATAATCCAGAATATTTATCAGTAATATTCCAGATACCAGGAAGAGCTTCTGCAAACTAAAATGCAAATAGAACTTAGATGCAGAATAGTAATAGAGCAGGATATAATGACGGAAGGAAGTTTTCTTAAACATTATTTTTTGTTTTTCTTTTTAATTCTACTGCATGTCTGCACCTTTGAAATTCTACACCTTTAGGGAAAGAAAGCTGTTTTATCCTCTGAGGGAGTTGCTTTCTGATATAGTGAACTACTTCATGACTACACAGACCCCTTACCCCCAACTGTTCACCCATTAGTACCTTATTTTATTTAGAAGTAAAGTTCCTGATAATGTAATATGATCAAGGTAAAAGAAGATAAGTCATGGCACATTTGATTCAGAAATAAGAAACAATACCAGGAAGATCCGTAGGATGGATCTATGCTATCTGGTATTCCATTTTCGTTGGTATAGTCTAAAAGAGAAGATCTGCTTCAGTTCATGCAGTATTTTTTGTTATTCTGTATAGAAAGCAAGTAGTGGAAGGAACCCAAGTGAACTTTCCTTTTACCTTTAGAGCCACAGTAAGTAAATTACAACTAATATTAGAAACTTGAGGACTGGGCACAGTGGCTCATGCCTGTAATGCCAGCATTTTGGGAGGGTGAGGCAGGAGGATCACTTGATCTTAGGAGATCAAGACTAGCCTAGGCAACACAGTGAGACCTCCATCTCTACAAAAACATAAAAATTAGCTGGGTGTGGTGACCCATACCTGTCCTAGCTATTCAGGAGACTGAGATGGGAGAGGATCTCTTGAGCCTGGGAGTTAGAGGCTTCAGTGAGCTGAGACCACACCATTGCACTCCAGCCTTGGTGACAGTGAGACCCTGGCTCCAAAAAAGGAAAATAATAATTAAGATCTGAAAGATTTAAATATAGTTTTTGGGCAGTGAAGGAAACCAAGAAATTAATGTGGTACTATATCTTCTCTAATTTTTTACAAAAGAGCAGAGCTGACTTTAAGAATGAATGAACAGTCAAACAAAAACCACGACTCGGAGTATAAAATAAGGGGAACATTTTTCTGAGGAGAAAGAAGAAAGACATATTTTTTAAAAGATTTAAACCTAGGAAAAATAAGTAAATTTTATTAAAATTTTAAATAATTTACCATAAGAAAAAAAATTTTTTTTTTAAACAAAGTAAGAACAGTGTTAAAAAGACTGAGTTGAAGTTTGCCTGAGATACTGGAAAAGATATAGAAGGAATCAGTGAGAGAAAATGATAAGACATTAAAATTTGATAGCAGACGTGAAAAGTCTCTTAGAAGTAGTAAAGGACAGAATCAATAAAGCAGAAATTTAAGGCATAGATAGGGAGGAGAAATTAAAGTGATGGTATAAAATTAGGTGGTAGATGGAATGAGAGCCAATGTCCCTTCTAGAACATTGGACTTACTGCAAGTGGGATGGGAGACGAGTTCTCAAGGACATTTGATTCTTTGGTTGGGAATTTAGATTTGAATTAGTAATCAGGTTAAACACACACATGCACACACACACAGAAAGAGAGACAGACAAATTTATACACAGTACTGCAAGCCCTTTATCTCTGCCTCCTTGGCAAACATGATTATTTATATGAAGATTATTCTGGTGTTTATTTTTTAAATTCTAAGAAGTCAAAGTCTGTGGGTTAGGTTATGAAGCCAGTGAATGGAGTGATGGCTTTGCAAATGAAGAGTAATATAAGTAGCTTAAAGTATTATAGATCATAAATCTGCAGCATACTCAGTAACTATCAGATATTGAAGTGAGGGAATGACAGAAATCTTCAAAGTCTTGGATTTGAGTGAAGCCCACAGTATGTACATGAGAACACATGAACAAAACTTGTTGGAAATGTACAAAAAGGAGACTTCCAACCAGAGGTGTGTGTGCACATTCATATATGTATGTGTAAAGAAAACATGAACAATTATCCTAACTGAAAATGTTAAACTGTGCTTGCATTATTGCATTCATATTAACATACCTGAGAGTAATACATACCATAAGCTACCTAATTATACTGACTTGTCCTATACTTTGCTGGAATCAACTTACAGTAGGATGTTATTTTCTGTGCTTTATTTGCAAGTTAACATTTTAATAATTATCATAAATAGTTATCTGATTTGCATATTGTGGTGCATAATCCAACTGTTCTGTGGATCATCCACAGTTATCTTATTATTCATGCCAAGACTTCTATATTAGTCTGAATAATCTATCGTAGACTGCATTTCTGTTTCCAGTTCTCTGAGCTTTTTATAACTCTAAATATAGTGCTTTTTTATCAAAAGATGGAATCTTACATGTGTTAATATAACAATCTCTCTGACCCACTATTCTATTGAAGTTAATTTTTATTGTTGTATAATTTCCAACATTTCTATGCAATATCTTTTATTTGAACCTTCATAACCATGTGAGCTTGGTATTGAAGTGTTACATCAGTTTTTGTCTGGATAGTGGGCCTGTGTGCTAAGAGCTGAAAAATTTGAAAAATATTTTTGAAAATAGTCAAATTTGACTCTTGAGTCAAATTATAAGATGTGTGTAAAATAACATAATAGAAATGATCATGTTAGAGGAAAAAAATGGCTGAGAGGCCAGATCAAGAAGTTCACTATAATGTAATCAGTGATACTAACATAGAGGAAAACTGAAGGAGGAGTGACTTCTAAATCTGGTACTAACATACTCCGAGGAAAACTGAAGGAGGAGTGGCTAGAATTGGAAAGGAGTAAATTTGTGCAACATAAATTTGAGCGTTAGCTATAGAAGTAGCAATTGTTTTAGAAAGCCACAGTGTTCTCATCATTCATCTCCAAAGATGTGGAAGGATGAATGCATAAAGCTAGAGGAATTTGAAGCCATTAAAGTGAAATTCTTCTGACCCCATCTTATTTGGCATTTTCCTTATCAGTTTATTTTCTGAAACTGAATTCCCAGTTAGCTTTTCTTACATGTGAAGACCATACAGGTTAGGTTCTCATGAATATCTAATTCTCCTCACATTTTTTTTGGATCCCCATAACACATTCATTAAAAGTTAAGCAGTTAACTAATGTGTAATCATACAATGTATTTGGCATATATACTTTAATTTTTATATAAACAGAATTAGGTTGAAGTATCAGTGAAATATGGCGCACTGAAACATTTACCCTTTAGGATACAGAGACTAAGTACTTAACATCAGAGTGCTAGAGATACAAATACTAAATAGACAATGTTCCATGAAGCCTATCTTTATGTAGTATACTCGTGTCATATAATGTAGCCAGATAGATCCTGCTGAATTTTTATTTTCATCTGTCCTTGTCTGCTATTTGCTGTAAAGCATAGGGTCAAATTTGCAAGGAAAACCCTATTTTTTTCTAAGGCATTGTGCCTTCAAAATTATCTATGTGTTATGAGCAATTCATTTATCTGTTACCGGCTAATAGTCATGAACTCAGACTGTAAATCTTTTTTTTTTTTTTTTTTTAATTAAGAGGTTGGTTTACTAATGTTGCTCAGGCTGGCCCTGAACTCCTGGGC